GGGAAAGAAACCTGTCAAATAGGCTAAAACCTAGATAATTCTATATATTCTGAGGAATCCATGCCACTGTTGCCCTTGCTTGTAAATACATGGAATGTTTTTAATTGCCTATGCCTGTGTTCAAATTCAATACTGCATTTACTAGTATATTTCTTTCATTAGTATGCTAGTCATCTGATCTGCAAGATAAGGTTGCATGAATATACTTAACACTACTGAACTATACACTGAAAAAGGTTAAGATGGCAAATTTTATTTTAATGTGTATTTTACCACAATTAAAAATAACTAATAAATTCAGTAGGGAAAAAAATAGGGTTGGGGTTGTATGTGTAAGTTTGGGGGCATATCTCTGCTCTTAAAAAAGGAAGGGGGTAAAGGCATTGCTTCTAGAGTGCATGCCTTCTCTGAAAAAGGGAAGCATATATGCTCTAGGAAATGAATAAAATCCTTTAAAAGATTAATATGGGGAAAAAGTTATGTTAACTTTATATATTTTTTCTGTTTTAAACCATAGTTATCTTTAAAAGGTAAACACACAAGATATGCATATTTCAGGGCACACAGGCTTCCCCCCTAGGTCTCTTGCAAATTTTTTTTTTTTTTTTTTTCCTTGCGTTATGCGGGCCTCTCACTGTTGTGGCCTCTCCCATTTGCGGAGCACAGGCTCCGGACGCGCAGGCTCAGCGGCCATGGCTCACGGGCCCAGCCGCTCCGCGGCATGTGGGATCTTCCCGAAACGGGGCACGAACCCGCGTCTCCTGCATCGGCAGGCGGACTCTCAAGCACTGCGCCACCAGGGAAGCCCTCTTGCAAATTCTTAATGCAAAATTCAATTGCAGTGAGTCTTCCAAATTGACTCACAGAATGCTTGACTTGCCCTTCTATCTCAGAGATACAAAGGATGTATTCATAGGGTGTGTCCCTGTTGGCCACCCCTGATCAACTTACATCTGGTGTTCTGGGATAGTTATTAACAGCACCCTCTTTCACTCTCAACCATGTCCTGCTTTGCATGACAAATTCTTGGTCACCTTCTCTGCAGAGGTTATGGAAACTGCCTTGGGGATGTGGTTTCTTCCATGCCTTAGTCAGATGACCCACAAGGGGGTGATGTAAATTCCCTGGCTACTGATACACCCTCAGGGGAAACTTTTCAAGTCTTTTCTGCCTCCAAAAAGTGTTTTACTTGTGCCTTCCTAGACATGAAGGGGGAAAGTGGGCTTGAGGGCTGTCAAAGGGCTTGAGAAAGAATTCTGTACTAAAATTGCTGCCTATCTTCATTAAATAATATAATAAAACCCTTTCTTTACACTATTAATATTTGTTTAATGACTTTTTCTTCCTATTAGTTTTTTTGAGCATGTAAGGTACCTATACAATTAGCGAGACAACGTGAGATCAGAGAGTGACTGGAAAACTCATGAGGGATTTACTAGAGAGGGAGGAATGGAAAGATCCATCCGCTGCTCCTCAGCTTACCAATTTCTATGGAACCAGTGCACAATCTGCTGACATCACCAGTAGAGCAAGCTTCTAGCCCCTTTCTCCTTTCCCAGGGCTACATGGGTTAGGGTGAGGTTGGCTATTCTAAAGCCAGGCATCCACCTCAAAAAAGTTTAGGAAGATGTCTTTCCCTTGCTCACTTTGGGCACACATTCTTTTGGCACAGTATTAGCAAAACTACAGTATTGTAATCACTTTAGGTATTTTTCTGTTCACTAGAAGACTCAACTTTTGATACTTATTCTACTTAATGTTTTATTGTCTTTTTAATTCAACTTTAAGTTCTTTCATGCAAAATTTTATTGATCAAAAATGTATATATATATAAAAATGATCAAAATGTATACATATATATATGTATAACTGACTCTGTTATAAAGCAGAAACTAACACACCATTGTAAAGCAATTATACCCCAATAAAGATGTTAAAAAAAAAAAATGTATATATATATAAAAATTGATCAAAAATGTATACATATATATATGTATAACTGACTCTGTTATAAAGCAGAAACTAACACACCATTGTAAAGCAATTATACCCCAATAAAGATGTTAAAAAAAAAAAAAAAATGGTTACAGTTCAATTAAGCAAATAAGCTCAATTTGACCATGTAATTAGTACATATTAACAATACTGGCTACTTTGCATGTAAATAGTAATGCATTCTTGTTGTTAGGAACTGAATGTTTGTATCCTCCCAAAGTTCCTGTATTGAAATGTAACCCCCAATGTGATGCTATTAGAAGGTGGGGCCTTTGGGAGGTGACTAGGTCATGAGGTTGGAGCCCTCATGTTGGGGTTAGTGCCTTTATAAAAGAGACCACACAGAGCTCTCTCAGCCCTTCCACCATGTGAGGACACAGAGAGATGGGCATCTATGAATCAGTAAGGAAGTACTCACCAGACATTGAATCTGCCATCTGCCAGCACCTTGATCATGGACTTCCCAGCCTCTAGAACGGTGAGAAATAAATTCCTGTTATTTATAAGCCATCCAGTCTTTGGTATATTGTTATGGCAGCCCGAACAGACTAAGACACTTGTCCCTGTGTACGTTTTGATCCCTGCTTATCAAATTCAACCTACTCTTCGAAAATGGTACTTTGGTTTCGGTTCTAGGTGGGGATATCAACTCTGCCACCATTCCAGGAGTTGTATTGCTTTCAGCTTATCACTAGACAAAAGAATCAATAAGAATATTAACTGAATGAAGAATAACTTTATTCACTAATAACTGAATAAGAATTGATTGAATAAAGAATTGAATAAAGAATAACTACCACTGGATAGTTCCCTGCTCCAAAGAAAACTTTTAATCAGTTGCACAAATATAGATTTGCATGCATTTTCATATTAATATGCATTTATAAGTATCTCTTCTTGCTATTTTAAGTGATAACTGTAATCTAGAAAATACATAAAGCCTTTGGCATAGCAATGAGTGTTGGAGAGGACTTGAGACCCCACTGTATGTCCTTGAATAAATCTGGTGATTAATACTGAAATTAATGGTAGGTGAGAAATGAAATGTTCTTTCCTGAGAATTTCTGCATTGACCTTTCAGTGAGTCCTAGTACCACTGTCCTACTAGAGCAAGAAAAAAAAACAAATTAATTTAAAGAGTTCCAACCTGGCATTCAGAAAGTAGACATTTCTTGCTCTCCCTTTATGCTTGCAATAAATGAAAAACACATTTATGGATCATTCTTTGGTCACTTTATAATAACTAAGACTCATATTTGGGGACTTCCCTGGTGGTCCAGTGGTTAAGCCTCTGCACTCCCACTGCAGGGGACACGGGTTTGATCCCTGGTCCGAGAAAAAAAAAAAAAAAACCCTCATATTTAGTAATAGC